TGTTGAATGTTAATACTATAATTGTATTTAAGATTGATATCTTTTCAATCTTAAATGCAATTATAATATTAAAAAGACCATGAATTGATAATTAGATTTTTTCTTATTTTAAAATAATTTTATTATTTTATGTGTAAAATAATCACATAAATATCTTGTGCAATAAAATATTTATAATCGCTGGTAACACTTATTATAGCATAGCAAAAAGTCTCAACAGATTATTTTGTATTAAATAGTTTTTATGTGATCAAATTTTATGTTACAAAACATTTGTTAGTTGTATTCAATTTTAAATTATGTATTTAGTTGAGCTAAAAAAAGTTATTATACTGGGATCTTTTCCAGAAAATCTACTGTCTGGTCTACAGTTGCCAAAATTTAAAACCATTTTTATGTTTTTTTTTTTATTTAGACCAATTTATATGGTGCATATTGCATCTTAGGAAATGATGGAGTCCCTAAATTTGGTTTGTTCAAATCATTTACCACTGGTTCTGTGAGTTATATAAATACATCAAATGTAAGTGTTTTTTTTTCCATGTTATTTGATTTCATTAAGTCTATTTTTTGCAGTATTGCAAAAACAGACTTAATGAAATCAAATAATTTGATTTCATTAAGTCTGTTTTTATTGCAGCATTAATATAAACATAAGTTTATATTAATGCTGCAATAGTTTAGTAAATTAATTATATCTAAAAAATTTTCTATGTAAGTTGATTTTAATGTGAATAATACTAAAAAAATAATAAATTATGCGTTATGCATATATATATTAGAGTGCAGTGAAGAAATTAAAAGTGGAATATTTATATGTAATAGCAAAAAAAAGTTGTCTTTTGGTAAGTGTTCAAACATTGAAAAAAAAAAATTCAAAAATTTCAATGTCTTTAGCTGCCTCATAGGGGACAAAGTTACTAAAAAGAGGTATTTTTTTATGGCAATTGAGTGTTTTAGTCAATTATTTTTTTGATTAAAAATTAAACTTTTTTGTCAAATTCTTTCAGAAAAAACTGTAATAATTAAAAAGAATGACATATATGTCATTCTTTTTTATCTAATATGAACATATTTCGATGACCTTTTAAGGTTATATATATATTTCAAGGCATAACACTTTCGTGGGGAAAAGGGGGGCGGATTGGGATCAATCCACTAAATTTAAATGTCAATAAGTACTACTTTAAACACCAACTTTGTAAAAATAAAAAAATGTATTTTTGAAAATAGTTAGGGGACATGGTCCTCTGCACTTCCCCTTCCCTCTCTCTGTCACTGTGGCAGATTAGCAAGTTAGTAAGTCAGCAAGTCTATAACAAGTTAAAGGGTGAAACAAAAATATCTATTCATTAATTATTTTAACATACACAATCAAGTTTTAGAAAATCTGTTATTACATTCTACCAATTTATTGGTTCGGAAGTACGATATTCTGACTTTGTGTTAAACGCTAGCATTATGAGATGTCCACGTAAACGTGATCGAATAAAACCATCTCGAGTTTTTCCTCCTCATACAGCCAGCGAAGCCTCATCAACTGTCAACGGTGGCTCGATTATTTTATTTTATTTCCAGTTGATGAGTTCTATGTAATCATGTGCATCTAAGTTAAGCTTGGTAAACTGAAAGTACGCAGTGTGTGATCTTTTTCCTGTCGCGATTTAAGAATGCGCCTTAATCCTAAATCACAAATTTGTTGGCGTTTGTTACTAACCATTGCTAGTAAGAGATTTTCTGAATGAGCAAAATAGCTGTTAAGTTGTAATACAGGATCTACTATATCTTGCATGTTTGCATGCAAAAGACAAACCAACCATTGCAACAATTTGTTATATTCTTTTTCCATCAACCTTATTGCGCTACCTTTAATTCCTGTGTTTACGGCAGTTCCGTCAGATCCAACAGCTACAAACTTTTTAATGTCAATATTTTTGATAGTTATAAAGTTGACTATAGAACTTTTTATCAAATAGGCAGACGATCCAGATGGTGATAAGTGCCCAAGGTATTTAGACCCTGGTTCGTCTGTTAAAGAGATGTGCTCTTGAGTAATACTTTGTTGATAGAACTTTAACCCTTCCTTGATACCAAATTCCTTTCAACTTTAACCCTTCCTTGATGTTTTCAAGAGTTTTGTTTTTTCGTCCATCAAAATAAATTCCTCGAACTATTTTTGAATTTTTAGAATTTTTTAGTTGATTGCGTTTTCTCTTACGCTCCCGTCATATTTTACTCGGATCAACAACATAAGAGGTATCTTGTTGATTAACAACACTAAAGTCTTCTACATTTGCTATTGCAGCTCCAGCTCTATCTGAAATCCCATACTGGTCACAGACGTTTACTAATGCAGCAAGTGGTTGCCGACATTGAAAATACGAAGAATTAATAATGTCAACGGAAGAAACATCAGAAATATTACGTTTATTAATGTAATTATCATCTTCATCACTTTGAGCTGTAGATTGACTTTCAAAATCACCAACCGTAGACACAG